AACTTTCCCAATTTGTTTCCACAAGATTTTGTTTCTGAAACAATGTTGTGTTCTTTTTATGCCCCACCTACGATAGAAGAGGGACATAATGTTTTTCGGTCTGTGTGACCGTTCCTTAGTCCATTTGTCTGTCCCGCTTCAGGTTAAAGTTTTTGGTCAAGGTAGTTTTTGAAGTTGGAAGTCCAATCAACTTGACCGTTAGTACCCATGTTCCCTATGATATGATCTTTCTAATTTTAATGTCAAATTAGAGTTTTGACCCCAATTTCACTGTCCACTGAACATAGAAAATGATAGTGAGAGTGAGGCATCCATGTACTAGGGACACATTCTTGTTTATATCCAAATAGACCAAACAAATTTTCAATCTATGAAACAAGAAAATTCCAAATTGTTCGTGGGTATCTCTTACTTCTAACTTGAAGTCTTTCACGTTTGGATGAGTCTAATTTTATCTATGAGAAAAATCTTGCAGAATTGTGACAAAAAAAGGAAAACAAACTTTTTGTAATGGGTTTTTATACGACTGCAAAAAAGTTTTGCTTTCATATAATGCTATCACATCGTCGTCGTTGTATTCCGTGGACATGTGGTTTCTGGACAATAACTTTAGTTTAAGTGTATGGATCTCTATGAAATTTAATCAAAAGGTTCAACACTACAAAAGGAAGGTTGGGATTGTTTTTGGGGGTGATGGTCCCAACCATTTAGGAATTAGGGGCCAATAAGGGACCCAAAACAAGCATTTTTCTAGTTTCAGGACAATAACTTGTGTATAAGTATTTTGATTGCTCTGAAATTGTACCACAAGGTTCAATACCACAAGTAGAAGGTTGGGATTCATTTTGGGGGTAATTGCCCAAACCGTTCAGGAATAAGGGGCCAAAACAAGCATTTTTCTAGTTTTTATACGCCCGTTTACGGGACGTATTATGGTATACCGTTGTACGTCCGTCTGTCCGTCCGTCTGTCCGTCCGTCCGTCGTCAACATGTCGGACATTAACTCAAAAACGCTTTAACCAATTTGCTTAAAACTTTGGTGAATTGTTTATATCTATTGACGTGAGCTCCCTTTCGTTTTTTATAAATTTTAGATTTTACGTTTCCGAGTAATGGGGTTTTATTCATTAAAAAAAGGGGGATTTTCCAGTTTTCGGACAATAACTCCAGAATGCTTTCACCAACTTGCAAGAAATTTTGGTTAATTGTTTATATCTATTGACATGAGCTCCCTTTAGATTTTTATAAATTTTAGATTTTACGTTTCCGAGTTATGGGGTTTTATTCATAAAAAAAAGGGGGATTTTCCAGTTTTCGGACAATAACTCAAAAATGCTTTCAGCAGTTCTCATGAAACTTTGATGTTGATATCTATTGATGTAAGCTCCCTTTAGAATTTTATAAATTTTATTTGTTTATAGTCTGACAACAGATTTACTAAGTATTGCGCAACAGCACAGTGTATTGCACAACAGCAAGAAATCTTTAATTGAATATAAATTTAATTCATATAACCAACTTCAAGTTCTTTGACTACATTTATTCAGAAACCTATAATAGATGTATGTCAAATATTTAATTCCAATCCAAATTCAGACCTGTATCAAGCTTGAATATTGTATCCATTTTTGCCCCAACTGTTCAGGGTGAGACCTCTGCGGGCGTATCCAGCTGCGCTCAGCGAAGCAGTTTATTAAACAATAACTTGTGCTCAAGTGTATGGATGTCTCTTAAATTGTACCACATTTTACAAAAAGAAAATGTTAATTTTTTTCCTCAAGATTTAAGAAATTATTAATTTTCCAAAAAATAAATTAGGGGTCACAATTTATTTTGCTAATTCTTTGTATATAGTCTGAAAACAGGTTTACTAAGTTTTGTGCAACAACACAGTGTATTGCACAACAGCAAGAAATCTTCAATTGAATATAAATTCAAATCATATAACCAATTTCAAGTTCTTTGACTACATTTATTCTGTGTCAGAAACCTATAATGTGTCAAATATTTAATTACAATCCAAATTCAGACCTGTATCAAACTTGAATATTGTGTCCATTTTTGCCCTAACTGTTGAGGGTTAGACATCTGTGGTTGTATCCAGTTGCGCTCGGCGAAGCACTTTATTAACATAGGTTTCATTCCACTAAATTATTTGACCAAACATCATTTCAAGGTCAGTTATATTGTCATTATATTAGTTGACTTCTTTTATTCGCATAATTTTGTCTGACATTTTAGTTTTGCCATTAATAAGAGTCAACTGTACATTGTAACATTAATTCACACTTTCAAAAATTAGGTTCATCAAGAGACATTTGGTAAAAGTGGTTGTAGAAGGATTGTTCCTGGACAGTACCTAGCTGTGGATCCTAAAGGAAGAGCTGTTATGATAGGTATTTCACATAAAAGACTACTAAGGGAGCCTCAATGGCCGAGTGGTCTAAGTAGTCCAACTACTGTATTACTAGCCTGTCAACACTGAGGTTGTGAGTCCGAATTCTGCACATGGCCAATGCGCATTCCAATCTTATTTAACTAGGATTGTCAGTTTTCCTACCAAAGATCTGTGATTTTCTCTGGGGACTCTGGCTTCCTCCACCAATAAAAACTGACTGCCATGAAATATCATAATAGTGCTGAGAGTGGTGTTATACACCAATCAATCAATCTTTAAAAGACTACTGAAATATATCAGTAAAATCAGTTGGTTTATTAAAACAAAAGCAAAATGTCTTTTTCAGAAATAAAACAGATTATGAAAACAAATGTAAAACAGAATGAAAGGGGCATCAAAGCTGTTTCCAAGGATTAGGGAATAAATTGATTGAAACTTACGCTAACTTGAAGATTATACTTTAGGATTCAGATAGTGTAAATTTGATATTAAATTAATGAACAAATTATACAAGATTAAAGACAAGATATTAATATTGATGTAGCAGGATTATTATACAATGTCAAGAAAATTTAACTCTATTAGTCTAATAAACATATTTTCAACTAATAAGAATATGTCATACATGGGGGGAAATATTACATCCTATTCTAGATTATTTAATGAATTTTAAAAATATTTCTATAATTACTAACAGGTGCAGTTGAAAAACAAAAATTGGTATACATATTAAACAGAGATGCACAAGCTAGACTGACTATTTCTTCACCTCTAGAAGCTCACAAAGCTAACACACTGGTTTATCACATAGTTGGAGTTGATGTTGGTTTTGAAAATCCAACATTTGCTTGCCTTGAAATTGATTATGAAGTGAGTACCTTTGTTTTAAATACAAATGTGATTTCATAGTGGTAAAGAAAAAATATTTTTACAAAATTTCCATTTTAATGCATATCTGTATTTGTTTTCTTTACTGTAGTAAGGATGTTATGCTAAAGATAGTATTTGTGAAGTTTCCAAACAAATAGACAGTTTTCATCATAAATACAAAGAAACAGTGCAGTAAAACATGTTTTCTTCAAATTTATAGTGAGCTAGAGAAAATGGATTGGGATTGTTCAGAGCAAAACTAAAAATCATGTACGCTTCAAAAATAAATAATTGTGATACTCTTAAAAAAACTTGAAAAGCACTCTATAATATTTGTTTGGTAGTTGTAGTGATGCAGGCTATCAACAATTTCTCTTTAAAGTCTCAACTTCCTTTGATTCTGTAGTAGCACAAACCCTGGGTCTAACTGTCTTGAGATGAGTACTTTGGAAAATAATTTGTGTGCTGGTTTTGATAAACTGGAATAATCTTTGTTAAAGGTTGAAATATAAATGAAAATTCATTTAATTTACAGGAGTCAGACAGTGATCCCTCAGGAGAAGTAGCAGAAAAAGCACAACAATTACTGACCTATTATGAACTGGACTTGGGATTGAACCATGTTGTTAGAAAGTACTCTGAACCACTTGATGAGCATGCCAATTTTCTTGTATCAGGTATAGTGGATGTCTGTTAGGAAATGTTTCGGAGGGTTGGACAGGAAATGTTTGGGAGGGTTGGACACCACATTATATTTTTTTCAGTGTGAAACAGGGAAGGAAGCAAATGCAAATATGTTACAAATGAAAACAAAAATGATTGGCAATGGGGTAATAATAAAAGTGTTGTCCCCCACACCTCCATCTCCCTTAACTTTTTTCCTGGTATAATCCTTGGTCAATATCATACAAATGCTTTGAAAAGATTGCTCTGTATTGATACACAAAATGTCAGAACTTTTATACCATAAACCATTGACAATAGAATATACAAGAAGTCTATCATTTAATTGTTTACTACTTTACAAAGTAAATATGTTTTTCTTTATTTTGAAACAAAGGAATGGACTGAAATCAAGGTCAAGAGCCCTGGTGAAATACTTTCTTTGATGGGATACTGTACTTTATTTTTAAAGGCAGTGCTTTAATGCCTTTCTAGTTGCCGGGTTAATCCTTCCTTCCGCGATATCCAACTTATCTACGTGGGGGGTCATTAGACTCCAAGTAGATCCGGAAATGTTGAATTCTCTCCTCTTCTTATTGCGATATAAAATGTTTTTTGTTTCATTTCATTTACATTGGGAAATAGAGAAACGATCATTGTGTTTTGTTAGTTTTAAAAACTTTTGATATATTAGTATTTTGCATTATAAGCAGTCAACCGATTGACAAACTAGAATTATTTGAATTCCGTGTGGAAAGAGCTCGGGTTAATTTCGAGTGTTATCTGCAATCTAGATGTTTATAAATCATTTCAGTCGTTGATATAATAATTAAAGGTCGACTGAACATGAATTATATTATACAATTCAAGTTAAAGCGCATTTCTGTTTATGCACGTGAACCCGTCTAACGTTATTTTCGTTTTCGCAGTTATATAAAGTAGCAAATTATCGTTCCTGAATAGGTGGCGCCGTGGTAGCGGATCCTGTTCCTCTTCTTCCGGTTTCTGCACTGTGCAACTATTTCAGTTATATTTTTAATTAACGATGCCAAATACTTGTTGTTGTGTACCTGGATGTCATTTAAGAGGAGGACATGCATTTCCAAATGACTTAAAAAGGAGGAAAAGTTGGATCAACGCCATGGCCCATACGCAGATTGGACGAGAACACGATGATATCGTGGAGTCCATCTCAATCAGCTGTTGTTTGCAAGGCACGTTTTACTGAAAAAGACTACGTGCAGGAAACTATTCATGGTAAAACTCTATTTTCTTTGTGAAATATATAGTTATATATGTAATCGCCATGCGAATAAACCAAAGTCTGTTTACAACCGCAATTATCGTTTTAGAATAAAAGGGGGTGGGTAATTCAAGACGTCATAATTTTTTGGATTACGATTCAATGTGATCTGTTTGAGAATTTTTGGTGATTGCTACAATTATAATGATTTCTTACAAGAGGTATATCATACTGAGAATTATTTTAGCAGTAATTATGCTAATGTAGTAATGACAGGAATGCATAAGCTATGCCTCATAGACTTTCTTGAAAAATATCAATGACAATGTTAACAGGAACAAAACAATGACATGCTCTCATCTATATTATAGTTATTTAGGTACAAACAATGTACGTTTGTTGCATAAGTCTCTCATTGTTTGTCCTTTGGATTTACATAACATAAATTGAATCAGGCAAACATAGTTTTATCCAGATTGTAATGAATAAATCTAGTTAATATTTCGCCAGGTAGTACAAAGTATACATTGCTAATGGAAGTTCATTTAATTATAAAAAAACTAATGTTTTATAACCTTTTTCAGGGCGCAAACCCACCATACAGAGACTTAAGTCTACTGCAATTCCCAGCCTATTTTCCTAGACCAAGCAAGAGACTGAATCGTCCGCAAATAGAAAAATCAGGGCAGTTTCCTGTGAAAACAAAAGAACTAAACTTGATGAATATTGTAGTAGAAATCTAGAGGAAAGTTTTGATTGTAAAGTTGGTTTTCCTGAAGAAGTCATTCATACTGCAGAAAGGATTTATGACTGTCCACCACCAACTGCCGAGCTAATGTTGAGCTTCACAGATGGAATTACGCAAACACCATCAATGCCTATGTTTTCAGCAGAGAATTTTGAAATGAAGACACGTGACACAGCCATGCATTTTTATACCGGTTTAGAGTTGTATACTAAATTTTTATTTGTTTTGACCACACTTGGTCCAGCAGCACATTGTTTGAGATACATATATTTTCAAATTGATAGGGTGTCAGTTGAAAATCAGTTTTTTTATGACTTTGATGAAATTGAGGCATCATACAACCAACTTTGAACTGTCTAGATTCTAGATTGAATCTAGTGTTAAGAATATTGTGTATACATGGATTGTTTTTATGTCTAAACAGTGGTGTGAGGCTAACACTTGGCCATCTAGTGGTTTAGTCAGGTATTTTTCACCATCCAACTTCAAATTAAAGTTTCCTACGACTTGGATTATTATTGACAGCACAGATTATCCCGTGATAGAACCTAAAGCTCCTAGAGCTCAGGCAACCTTTTCATCAAATAAAAACAGAAACACTGAAAATTCTTGAATGTTTGACACCTGGTGGTTTAGTCAACTATGTCTCTATGTCACATAGAGCGAATTATTGGACTTGGCAAAACATACAAAATTCTAATAAATCCTATGAATGGAACTGAAACAAAACTTTCATCTGAAATAACATTTAGTTGTTTTATGTTGTGTAATTTTAGAACTTGTATTGTGCCAAAGGATGCATAAATAAAAGTGACGCAATGAATTTTGTTCTGATATATATATATATTTACAATTACATGCACATGTAAATTGTAATGCATATAAAAATAAGGAGATGTGGTATGATATTCAGTGAGTTTATCAAACTAAAGTGCATAAGAAATGGGTTTAAGCAGTTACAGGTGTTACTGTCACCGTACAATCTCCAACAATGAGAAAAACTCGTACCGTGTAAAAAATTTCAGAGATCTTACAACTAAGTTTTGTTGTCTCACCTTGACTTTGGTGAATTTTTTATATCTGTTGATGTAAATATAAAAAAGAAGATGTGGTATGATTGCCAATGAGACAACTCTCCACACATGCACAAGAGACCAAATGACACAGAAATTAACAGCTATAGGTCACAGTACGGCCTTCAACAATGAGCAAAGCCCATACCGCACAGTCAGCTGTAAAAGGCCCAGAAATGACAATGTAAAACAATTCAAACAAGAAAACTAACGGCTATTTTATGTAAAAAATGAACAAATATGCAACACATAAACAAACGACAACCACTGAATTACACTTTTATAGGCTGCTGACTTGGGACAGGCACATACATGTACATACAGAATCTGGCGGGCTCAAACATGTTAGCGGGATCCCAACCCTCCCCCTAACCTGGGACAGTGGTGTAACAGTACAATATAAGAAAGAACTATAAAAATCAGTTGAAAGAGGCTTAACTCATCAGATGGATAAATACAAATACAAGTGGACGTGGTCAGGTAGTTGTACATCCAAACAACAAAAAGACACTAAGTACAAATCTGAGAGTACTCGCAGCTACTGACAGCTAGTTCAAAGCCACTAACAACTGATAAAAAAATCTTGCATCTAAGACTAAATTATCAATCCGTAAGCTCCCTTTAGAATTTTATAAATTTTAGATTTTACATTTCTGAGTTATGAGGTTTTATTCATTAAAAAAGGGGGGATTTTCCAGTTTTTGGACAACAACTCAAAAATGCTTTAAGCAGTTCACATGAAACTTTGGTGAATTATTTATAGCTATTGATGTAATCTCCCTATTGATTTTCATAAATTTCAAATATGACATTGAGAAGAAATTGAACTTTATTTGTTTATAGTCTGGCAACAGATTTATTAAGTATTGCACAACAGCAAGAAATCTTTAATTGAATATAAATTCAATTCATATAACCGATTTCAAGTTCATTGACTACATTTATTCAGAAACTATAATATGTCAAATATTTAATTACAATCCAAATTCAGACCTGTATCAAGCTTGAATATTGTGTCCATTTTTGCCTCAGCTGTTCAGGGTAGTACCTCTGCGGGTGTATCCAGCTGCACTCAGCGAATCAGTTTATTTCTTAATTAAGAACTTCTTTTTATACGACCGCAAAAAAATTTTGTGGTCGTATATTGGTATGGCGTCGTCGTCGTCCGAAGACACATTAGTTTTCGCATTCTAACTTTAGTTTAAGTGAATGGATCTCAATGAAATTTTAAAATAAGGTTCAATACCACAAAGGGAAAGTGGGGATTGATTAATGGGGTTATGGTACCAACAGTTAAGGAATTAGGGGCCAAAAATAAGCATTTTTGTAACTTCCAGACATAACTTGTGTGTAAGTGTATGGATCTCTCTGACATTGTACCACAAGGTTCCATATCACAAAGGGAATGCTGGGATTGATTTTTGGGGGTAATTGCCTCCAAATTTTAGGAATTAGGGGCCAAAAAGGGGCAAAAAACAAGCATTTTTCTAGTTTCATGACAATAACTTGTGTGCAAGTCTATGGATCTCTCTGACATTGTATCACAAGGTTCCATATCACAAAGGGAATGCTGGGATTGAATTTGGGGGTAATTGCCTCCAAATTTGAGAATTAGGGGCCAAAAAGGGGCAAAAAACAAGCATTTTTCTAGTTTCATGGCAATAACTTGTGTGTAAGTGTATGGATCTTTATGAAATTGTACTACAAGGTTCCATATCACAAAGGGAAAGCTGGGTTTGAGTTTGGGGGTAATTGCCCAAAAAGTTTAGGAATAAGGGGCCAAAAATAAGCATTTTTCTAGTTTCCAGACAATAACTTGTGTTCAAGTGTATGGATCTCTCTGAAATTGTACTGCAAGGTACCATACCACAAAGGGAATGCTCGGATTGATTTTGGGGGTAATTGCCTCCAAATTTTAGGAATTAGGGGCCAAAAAGGGGAAAAAACAAGCATTTTTCTAGTTTCATGACAATAACTTGTGTGTAAGTCTATGGATCTCTTTGACATTGTATCACATGGTTCCATATCACAAAGGGAATGCTGGGATTGATTTTGGGGGTAATTGCCTCCAAATGTTAGGAAAAAGGGGCAAAAAACAAGCATTTTTCTAGTTTCATGGCAATAACTTGTGTGTAAGTGTATGGATCTTTATGAAATTGTAATACAAGGTTCCATATCACAAAGGGAAAGCTGGGTTTGAGTTTGGGGGTAATTGCCCTAAACGTTTAGGAATTTGGGACCAAAAAGGGGCCAAAAAACAAGCATTTTTCTAGTTTCCAGACAATAACATGTGTTCAAGTGTATGGATCTTTATGAAATTGTACTGCAAGGTACCATACCACAAAGGGAAGGCTGGGATTGAGTTTTGGGGTGATGAATCATAAGGGGGTTCAAAAAATTTGGGGGGGGATTCTTTTTCCTTTTTTTTTCTATAAAATTTTCCATTTTAAATTGGTTATTTCTGATTTATATAAAAGCAAATAATAATGATATGGTTTGAATAGGTAAATTAAATTTTTTTAAGTATCTTAGACCACTTTCATTCTGTGTCAGAAACCTATGCTGTGTCAAATATTTAATTACAATCCAAATTCAGTGCTGAATCAAGCTTGAATGTTGTGTTCATACTTGCCCCAACTGTTCAGGGTGCGACCTCTGCGGTCGTATCAAGCTGCGCCCCTGCGGAGCATTTTATTTCATTCATAAATTACTTTATGCTTGGAAATATAATTTTGCTTGGAGTTGAAAGAGATGACATGTTGCAATGTACATTTACTCTACATAGTTCTATGGTACCAAATCAAAAGTTTATATAAAGAAAGAAGTCAAAGGTTTCCCATCATAGTTTAGTTACATACATTTTTTTTGTACCTGAGGTCGTTGAATATAGATCATTATATAAATAAGGAGATGTGTTATGATTGCCAATGAAAAAACTAAGGATTTTCTTATCCAAGGAATAGATTACCTTAGCCGTATTTGGCACAACTTTTTGGAATTTTGGGTCCTCAATGCTCTTCAACTTAGTACTTGTTTGGCTTTGTTACTATTTTGATCTGAACGTCACTGATGAGTCTTATGTAGACGAAACACACGTCTGGCGTATTAAATTATAATCCTGGTACCTTTGATAACTAATTTGACTATAAACATAGATAAAAAAGGTACAAACTGGACATAATGCACTAGTTTATAAACAAGTGAGAACAATCGCCTTCATATAGTGCTCAGAATATGACATTCATAAAACTTATTCAATATCATTAGAGAACTCTAAATCTTAAATACTGAAAGCCACCTCTGATATGTACACTGTACTATGCAAGATAATGATATAACTGGACTTAAAATACACACAACCTGTAATTAACTGCCTTTACAGCGCTTTCGTGCTTTGATTATTCAGATAATATGGAAGCAAAATAACATTAACTGTGAAAATATTGTGCATATATGTTGGTTAACAGAAAGCATATTATGGCTTACAGTTACGGTACATGTGACTAATTTTTATGCCCCTGCCGTAGCGGAAGAGGCGTTAAGTTTTACCCTTGTCCATATGTACGTCCATACGTCCCAAAATTGGTTTCCGTTCTCTAACTTTAGTTTGCCTCAACCAAATGTTATGAAACTTATACTTATGCTTATTACCACAAAACACAGATCAAGTATGAATTTTGGTTGCGTCACTTTGATCGTTCTAGAGTAATGCCCCTTTACAAATGGAAAAATTGCTGAATTTTTCGTTTCCGTATTCTAACTTTAGTTTGCCTCAACCAAATGTTATGAAACTTATACACAATGCGTATTACCACAAAACACAGATCAAGTTTGAATTTTCATGGTGTCACTTTTACCGTTCTAGAGTTATGCTCCTTTTCAAATGGAAAAATTGCTGAAATATTCGTTTCCATTCTCTAACTTAAGTTTGCCTCGACCAAATGTTATGAAACTTATACACAGTTCTGATTACCACAAAACTCAGATCAAGATCAAATTTGGGTAGCGTCACTTTTACAGTTCTTGCTTTATGTCCCTTTATAAAGTTATATTTAAGCGGGGGCATCATCGGTGTCCATGACATCTGTGTCCCATGGACACATTCCCCATTTATTTGGTTCTTATTAAATGATTTATCATGTCAAAAACTGAAAGTGTTAAAATTTCAGAAATGAAAACTTTTGTCTATATAGTATATAAACCACTGAAAGTTTGATTGTCCATCTTTAATTGGTAATATGAAGAGAATATATTTTTGTTACAAACCCTGATGTCTGTTATGTTTTAGTTCCTGGAGGCACAGATGGACCAAGTGGTGTACTGATTTGTTCTGAGAACTATGTTACATACAAAAATATTGGAGACCAACCAGATATTAGATGTCCTATTCCTAGACGGAGAGTAAGTTGTGTTCCAATTTCATTATTTTCTTATACTCATGTAATTTCTTTCTTTAGTAATTTTTTTTGGAAGGTTGTTTTCTGAACTACAGCTAACTGATCATCGATGTTACTGTGGATTGATGAAAAATCGCATTTTTGTTGATATTTAAATTCATGTTTTTGCCAAAGTCTGCTTACTAGACTACATGACAACTGTTCAATCTAGATTAATCTTTCCTTCTACTAAATTCAATATCTTGTGTTTTTCTAGTTAAATAAAATCAGAAAAAAAGCTTTTAAAAACCAGTTGTATTCCATGTAGCTTACAAGTATGGACATTCTTCACCAGAGATGTAAATAAAACTGTC